AAAGATGAATAAATTAAAAAAGACTGGCCACAGGCAAGCCACTTCCTTCCTTGCCTCCTTTCAGTTAAGATATAATAAATGCCAGCAAAATTCAAAGAATACAAACAAACCAACCAAAAGAACACAAGCAAACAGAACATTTTATATGTGTAAACAGACATACGCATATATATGTGCATATATAGACAAACACTTTTTTTACATATATAAAGGTGTATATACACACTAACTTCTCCATCAATTTAAGGTTTTTTATACTCATAGGAGAAGTAATTCTGAAACAGTAATTTCTCACACAGTCCATTTAAAATGATAACTGTAGGTTGCCAAGGGCCACTGAATTCTGTCTCCTCCTAAACGTATACAGCTTCACAATAACATAATGCTCAGGCCCACCTGAAATGATTAAACAACAGAATAAAGACACAAATAAACCAGCCTAACAAAAAGCTGTAGCTTGCAGAGGTTCAAGTTCTAAAATGGAAACTTTGCCACCAAAGATAAAATTTGGGAGGGTCATTACCTCAAAATCTTAATTCCCACATGTGTTCTTTGGCACCTTCACTTTAGCTGTACATTAATGCTAACAATCCCAGTTAAGACTTCCCTCGGCTTTGAACTGATAGATCCAACGGGCTAAAACTGCCACAGGCAGCAGTTCAGTCTTCAGTGTGTAGCAAAACTGACATGAAAAGGCATCTCCAACAGGAAGCTTAGGTAGGAAAATGATGGAGGATATGGAAGGTCATTAAATCAGCTGCCTCTAAGAAGGAAAATGTCAAAGAAGGGATGATACACTGAAGCAAAGAAGGGCTTGCACTAAGGGCTAGTCACAGTGAAAACCAGGGCTGTTGGGGAAACGGCCAAAGCTCGCTCCGTTGACATTGCCACCCCTTGAGCGTTGTGCCCAGTTTTGGGCCCCTCAATCCAAGAGAGATCTCGAGGGGCTGCAGCGAGTGCAGGGGAGGGCAACAGAACTGGGGACTAAATCTTATGAGGAGCGACTGGAGGAGCTGGGGCTGTTGAGTTTGAGGAAGAGGAGGCTGAGGGGAGACCTCATCGCCCTCTGCAACTCCCTGAAAGGACGTTGTGGAGAGGTTGGTGCTGGTCTCTTCTCACGGGTAACTGGGGACAGAACAAGAGGGAATGGCTTCCAACTGCAACAGGGCAGGGTGAGACTGGACATCAGGGAAACCTTTTGCGCAGCAAGAGCCTCAGCCACTGGCACAGGCTGCCCAGGGAGGGGGTGCAGTCCCCATCCCTGCGGGTGTTTAAAGGCCGTTGAGACGTGGTGCTGGGGGAGATGGTTTAGGGGTGAGCTTGGTCGAGCAGGGTTAGTGGTTGGACTCGATGATCCCAAGGGGCTTTTCCAGCCTGAATGATTCTATGATTCTACCACAAATCACAACAGTAACTGAGGTTAATATCACCAGACACCAAGTCATGTCTCTCCTTTATCTTCACTGCCTGTCTTCGACATAGTAAAAGTCTCCAAGATCAGCAGTTAAGGTAGCCCCACTCTTGAATCCTGCCCCCCTTCGCTTTAAGCCCTTGCCTGCAGTCTCAGAGTAGCTACACGGGACCTTTGAGGTGGCCACACAGGCTGCTGTTGCTAACAGGAGAAAGCCCTCCCCCTTCCTCCAACTCTGCACAGGCCTCGCTTTAGCCACAGTGCAAGCACAGCAGCAAAATTATTCCTTCCAATGCCAGCGGCATCGAGGGGGAAGTTTGAAACAAGGAACAGGAACCTCCTCTTCCAGGGGCAGCTGTAATTGCCAGTTTGTATGCCAGGAATGCACAACTAAGTTTTCCATTAGAATCACCAAATCTTGCCTCTGCCTTTGGAAGAGAACTGCTTTATGGGCAAGGAAGCAGCCTCAGCAAATGTGCAGGCTAACACTTGTGACAACTAGGCAGTCACTCAACAAGTCCTATCAGCTTACACAGCCGAGAGAAGAGAAAACCAACATATTCAGTTGCACCATCAGAGCCAGCTTTGGGTCAAAACAGAGTGCAGAGCTGGGTCCCAGCGTGTTACCCACTCACTAGTGCTGACAGAAGAGGCAAAAGCAGGACTCTTCCTTTCAGCAGCTGTTCACTGTTAACTACCTTACGCTTAATGTGAATTTGTGCTTTAAATCCCGAGAGATGGATCCAGAAAACTCCTGTTCTTTGTCTCCAAAACCCAGCTCTTTGACATGGTATAAGCTTGAAATTTAGCAATACAGTAATGCACCCTGAGCCTCTGCAAATCAAGAAAGATCTGAAATCTACACCCTGTTCAGGCTCTGAAATACTTTCCTTACATTCTTGCCACCTATTTTCCCCCTCACTTTTTAGCCTAAAGGAACAGAAGGAAAGAAGCCAACAGCTCCAATGCTAAGGAACTTCAGGGTATGAGGAGTCAGCCCTGTTGCCCAAGATGAAAAATTAATAATCAGTCTCACGCAAGGTACAGGCAGGGAGAGGAAGAGCAATGGGGAGAAGGGTAGGACAAGGCAAAACTTGCTAGGTTCCCTCAGACAAAAGTTAATCCTGCAATTAAACGGAAGATTAAGAAAAGTATGTAGAAAGCTTCTGACAGTTCCTGCACTCCAAGAGCAAGTGAAATGAACTGTTCACCTTAACTACATAATCTGAAGCAGCCCCACCTGCTTTTTGGACATGAAAGGATTTAACTGCCCCAGGAAAAACAATCTACAAAGACATCAACTCTGACTGAGGAAGGCCTGAGCTGCAGACTACAGAAACTTTGGAAAGACTCTGAGAAAACAGTACTACACACTACTACTGTTGTGTTCCCAGGACATTCACTATTGGCCACCATTAGAGAAGACAGGATGGACCAGAGCCATTCCCATTGTCATTTACGCCATTAATGACATCACTGAGCAATCCCACAGCCACCACGTTATGCCTGTCTCCACAGGCTTGTACAGTTTGAGCTGTTGAGGTTTCCCATCTGCTACGAGCTGAGCCAACCAAACTGAGGTAGCCTCTCAGTAGTAGATTGAGAATCAGACTGCAAATATCTCTGAGCAATATTCCACGGTACATTGTTGTAATAAACCGAACAAAAACACCAAAAAACCCACACCCCAAAACCTCCAAAAAACAACAACAACAAAAAATCCTCCCAAAAACCGATTTCTTTTCTTGCAGACAGAGGAATGGCCCAACCCATCATAGCTGTTATACATCACCCTCCTCTTACTGTATAATGCTTGCAAAGCTGTGCCTCACTTAGTGACCTGCCAATGCTTTTAACTTTAGCTTATTCTATCTTTATATAGCAGAAGAGTACATGTGACTATTAAAAGGAAAATATATAATTCTGAAAAGGACGTTTCTACATTTACCCTGCTCATACGATTCAGAGTATGAAGCAAAAAAGCACACTCACAAACGAAGGATATGCAGTGAGGATGCCATTACTTTCCACAGTAAAGGAACAGGGGAAATGAGAAAGCTTATAAAATCACAAACAGCAGAGAAGTCCTGTTCTTATAAGCTTAAAATAAGATGTTGGCATGACAATAAGACTCTTCTTCACTGTGATATCAATTTTCCCTTTGCTACTGTAGGGGGCTGGTTAGCTCAGTCTGTTGAGCACAGCACTAACAACGCCAAGGTCGCGGGTTTGATTCCCGTTCGGTCCCCATGTGTTTATAAAATCACAAACAGCAGAGAAGTCCTGTTCTTATAAGCTTAAAATAAGATGTTGGCATGACAATAAGACTCTTCTTCACTGTGATATCAATTTTCCCTCTGCTACTCTAAGACACTGTGCTGCAGTTAAACGTCCCGCCCCTCCCACTCTTCTTTTCCCTCAGACAGGCCCTGGCTTTTATGAAGCAACTTCAGACAGACCCTGTCAGCCCACTCTAACCACCACCATCTATGGCAGCAGAGCACAAGATGCTCTTTAAGTTAGCTCTTCATCTTTAAAGCACTGGTGGGTTTTTCTACAAACCAGAGAGTGGAAAATCCTCAAATTTTGAAGTGTCTACTTCAGGAGTCGGCAGCAGAGAGGCAAGAAGCCCTGCCTGACAAGAACTGACTCAAACCTTGCTCCACAAGGAGCAAGTCTCACGGCAAATACACCAAATCTGGTCACAGTATCAGCAGCACCTCAGCTAACCAGTCCGCCCAGAAACAACGCTGCTGAGAGCCCACCGTCGACAGACGCTGACTGTGCACACAGAGCTGGTGTGCGTGATCAGGATTCAGCAGCCTGCCTTCAGAGAAAAGCCGGCCCCGGAAGCCTCACACCTGAGACAACACACCTAAGATATCAAACTTGTCCTGACCTGAACTTACACTTCTTTCTCACCACAGAGCTGCTCTCTCCAAGCTTCCATAGCACTGTTAACTGAATAAATCGCAAAGGGATAATTGAGATTTACTCTCGTTTGGGAGGTGCATCCCCCAGCGGAAAGTCGGAAAGAGCAAACAAGGTGGAGAGTCTCAGAAGCTTTCATCTTAGAACCTAAGGACCAACCAGTTCTCATCTGGACTTTTTCCTTCCCTGCAGTTCACGATTTTAGGCTCACTGAAATGCTCTTGGCATTCCCCACAGCACAGCTGTCATTCAGGTCTTACTCTCTGGGTCATCCCTACTGCAAACATACCAAGTACAGCACTGAAAATCAGCATGATATGTAGGCAAGGAGATAGCAATAAGAAAACCACGACGTGAGGACAAGCCAAGGTCCAGTGCACTATCTTCTGAGTTACAGAAAGACACATCCTGGTTTAGAAGTCAGCAAAAAATTACAGATCAGATTAAAACCCCTCTCATCTATTTACCTATTTTTCCTATCAAGGTGTTACCGCTCACGTGCTAGACATGCAGCCTCGAAATTACCCACCTCCTATCAGTTTCAAATTCACCCTATTCTGGCAAAAATTAACAGTCGGCTCAAACTGCTGAGTGTTTCTTTGCTATACAAGATGCTCAGTTTAGGCCAGATACCTGTGACTTTGAGGTATGAACTTACAGTTTACAATGTCACCTTGCAACTGAAGAATTTGTGGAACAGGCATCGTAAGAATAACTATATCAAATTCTTCTGGTGGTCCCGTTTTCCTGTAGACTTCCCATTTCCCATCTCGGAGAGAGATGTGTGTTACATGCTGTTCATAGAAAACATCTGCACCTGCTTGGAAAAAGAAAAGGTTAAATACACATAGCAGTGAATTTCACAGAAAAAAAAAGAAGAGCAGTTTCCCTTCATAACTGGATGACTTGCAACACCAAAGCACACAGACAGTCTTCTGGGCAAAGTTTCACAAATTAGATTAAATCAGGCAAAAAGCCAGCATATGATATTAAAAGAGGGGATCTTGATCAGCTGAAAAGATCCCATCACTCTGCAGCTAGAGCTGGTATTTATCTGACTCCTCTCTGACACGATCCAACTCAGTAAACAGATGGAACACTGCCAGCTGCTCTCTTTTACAGGGTAGTTTGCCGTGGCCTTAATGAGCTGAACCAATTCAGAGTGAAATCTGATGAGCACAGGAGCCAGCACAGAGCAAGCAATCAAAGCACACCAGCAGGAGATGAAAAAAGAGAGGGTTGCCCCTGTTAGCACCTCGCATATATCAGAAGACGGGACCATAGTTAATTACTTGCAAGTCTAGGGTCTAAAAAACCAGCTAATTAAATAAAAATCAAAACCAATCACATGAAAGCAGCAAAGCTTGACTGCTCATAAAGCCAACATTTTTCAAACCAGAGTTAAAATAGTCACTATACTGGACATTACATCTAAAGCAGTTGTTACACAGCTAAAGTAGCCAGTGATCTCCTCCTTCAGTCTGTTCTGAAGGACATTAAAGATACTGTGTAAGTGCTCGTTTCTGCGAAACACGGGATGTAGCTCACCACTACATTCCCAGATGCTCAGTTACACCAGCACAGTTAGGTACACGCTCAGGAAAACACACCCAAACACTCACTTCGCTCAAACCGCAACTCATATCTCTTCTCAACCATGACCTCACTCCCATTAAATTATCTCTGTGCTAATTGCACCAGGTCTGATTCTCATATGCTAAAGCCAACAGTGTAAATACGGGCTTGGCCCCGATCCTACAGACATTACACTTGGATAGAGATCTTTACATGCCAGCAGTGCAGCTGAAGTCAGTGAAGCGCTTGAAGATTTTGGCCATTTGGAGAGTTTGCACACATGTTTCTCCATCTAAGGAACCACAAGACATCCATAAACAAACTAGGAGCTTGAACATTCAGAACACCATCGAAATAGATTGCTGAAACCTTCCACTTCATACAAAGGCACCTAAAAAAATTACCTGACTGTTTCAGATAGTATTTGACAACTGAGGAGATGCCCTGCGGTGCCACGTAATTGCACGAGCCTTCTTTCACGACCATTCCTTCCACGGGCGCAGTCAGCGACTTCAAGATGCCGTGAGCCAGGAGCTCCTCGTAGAAGCTGAAAGGGAGCAAACGACACAGAGCTGAAAACACACCGCAGGGTAAATCCCCGGTTCTCACAGCTGAGGTTCAGCCTGGCCTAATGTCCGAGTTTGTTGAGCCTCGCCCATCCTGTGCTCCAGGCCTGGCCACGCACAAAGAGAAACCACAGAACAAACGGCCTCGCCCGTGGGACCAGGGCTCCCTGCCCCGTCTCGAACACAACCTGCGAGCAGTTCGAGGCGGGAGATCCAGGCACGACCCGGGGAGGGGCACGCCCGGAGCCCGGACGCCCCCGCCTGCC